GAATTGACTCATCCAGATACACCATCTTCCTAGTGTGGGACTTGAAGAAGAATGTGGGCTCTTGGATGATCCCATAGGTTCAAAGCTCAAAACAAGGCACCTCTGGTATTCAACACTTTAAACAATATCTGTATTGTTTATTGAAAGGAAAATGTGTGTATGAAAAAGGTAGTGATGTTATCTTGACTGCTGGAGATGAGTAGCTGGATTATCCAATGTATCAATTAATTATATCCTGCTTTTTAACAGATTAACTATACAAAAGAGCTGACTAACAGCTCAGTTCCATTAAGACGACAAAGTTGTAGGACTCTGATATGAATAACATTGATTAAATGATAAAAATACTAGCTAAAAATGAGTAGTACTCTCAAATTAAAATTACACAGTGGGGCACTGTGGTAATATCCAAGTTCATATGGTTTCTGGACATTATCTACCTACTCAATCAATGCACATTTGAGTAGTGACTGCAAAAACTAGTTGCTAGGAGGAATACACAAATAAGTGAGGTATCATTTAACATATGGAATATGTAAAATAAAAATTTTAACATCTCTCTCTTCTTAAGATGCTAAAATATTTCATGATATAATAATTTCATTCTACAAATTATTTATCTGGATATTCACTTCTAGATTGTGGATTTTCCTTCAGAAACATTGGTGCAAAATCTAATGGGAGTCAGAAATTCCCTAAATAGTATGTTAAAGATATCCTCATAAAATTAGGATGAGTTGGAAAAGTAACTGCTGGATCAACAATGTTTAAGATATATATGAAGACTTTGAACAGAAGGCTGTAACTGTCAGAGGAGGAATAGAGCTGAGATTGTTAGATGGGCTGATGAGCATGGTGAAAGAAAGCTTCAGGAAGATAAGACAATAGATGAATAAGAATTCATTATAATTTCAAGGAAGATGAATTCAGTGAGATGGAACTATGTCATAAGAACATAAGAGAGTGTTGCATTCTGGAAACTAATGTAATTTGTTAAACAGTCACTGTCTCCTTGCATTAGACTTTTATCAAGAGTGGCATGGATAAGCTGAACATGAAAGAGCAGAAAATGGGAAGACATAAATAAAAATAATCACAATAAACCCATTGCAAGTTAACATAAATGAAACAAGTATATATATATATAAAAGAACATAGGAAGACATGATGATTTCTTGGTACTGAATTAAACTTCTTAGCTTGCTATACTTGTCTTCAGGAACACAGCAAACAAAGAAAAAAAATTCTCTAATAAATAGTACATCTGTTTACACTGCTTCTTCCCAGGCTGTAGGCCTTTAAATTCATATTCATCTATTTAACAAATAAACACCTTTAACATCTTTAGCTGCAATATTCAGTCTTGGACTATTAAAAAAATTACAGTTTAGTCAGTAAGTTTTCATAAGGTTCCTCTATGTGTGCTAGCTACTGTGGAGATAAGATCTTAAAAAATGATTACAGATTTCAAGATGCTTGTAACCTTTTTATCTCCTCTCAGCCATTAGCACAGCTTCTTACACATAAAAGCAACATAGTAAATGTGTATTATACTAAATTACATATACAGGATTAGAAAATAAGAATAACATAAGGTGGTTCAGACAGTAAAGAATCTGCCTGCAAGGCAGAGGCCTTGGTTTGATCCCTGGGTTTGGAAGACCACTGGAGCAGGGAACCGCTGCTCACTCCAGTATCCTTGCCTAGAGAATTCCATGGATAGAGGAGTCTTGTGGCTACACCCCCATGGGGTTGCAGAGTCGGACATGACTGAGTGACTAACACTTTCACACACTAAGAAATAATAATTCAAAGCAATATATGCTGAAATGGATATGGATGAATACAGCATATATACTATAGACTAGATGGAAATAGAATAGGTATAAATATGAATACAGACTACTGGGTTCTTAAGTACTCACTATAACACTTCAGAGAAATACTAGAGAAAGACTTTAGGCATCCGGAAGGACAATAGGGGAGTAGGAAATGCAAAAAGGGTCATGACCACACAGAGGCTACTGAGAAACATCTGTCAAGGCTATGCTTCTTATATTTTCTATTACAGTAAAATGTTCAGTTGCCATTGATTCACCTGTACTTTCAATATCATGAAATTAGGTTTGCGTTTCAGAAAATATGGCTACAGAGAGGTCATCAGAGGATCATTTCTTCTGAGGTTCCATAATGAAGACTTAGCAGAAAGAGGATTGCAAATGGCTAGAGGCTACTTCCTTCAAGGCCAATTTTCCTTCACCTCTTCAGATTGCTGCAGCTGGTCTCCAATTATGCATTCATTATAGAATTTCCTGGATGTAAATGCATCTCTATGGATGAGGAAGTGATTCAGGGTCTGTCAGGTAATAGATGCACTACACAGAGTAGCAATAAAGTCGTGATACCAAAACCACTAAATCATTTCTTAGCCTCATTTAAGTAATAGTTACTTCTTTTATTATTCTCGACTCTCAAATTTCCCACTTAAGGAAAAAAAATGATTATTATTTTATTTTTTAGAGTGGGGAGTTTACTTATCACTGAACACAGACTTAATCTTAAGGGGAACAAATGTCCTTCTATTATAAACAATCTAATTTTAGATTATATTTTATATAAATTATATATTGTATGTATGTAAACATAATATAGTCATATATATTTATATACATTTATATAATGTATATATTGTATTATAAACAATCTAACACTTAAAAGACACTTTATCTGCTGCTGCTGTTGCTAAGTCGCTTCAGTCGTGTCTGACTCTGTGCGACTCCATAGAGGGCAGCCCACCAGGCTCTTCTGTCCACAGAATTCTCTAGGCAAGAATACTGGAGTGGGTTGCTGTTTCCTTCTCCAACACTTTATCAAATAACACTTAAAAAAACACTTAAAACCATTCTGACCTATATGGATTTCCAAACTTAAATATTTTAGGAATGATCATGTAGCTCAAAGCAATAGATCATTTTTTAAATACAAAATAAAAAACTCCTCAGTTGGGCTTTGTAAGTCATATTCTGTGAAACTTCTGAGAATTTAACTCTGAAAATCAAGGAGTTTGGATAAAGTAAATTAATATTTAGTATAGTCAGCACATGAAAACAAATGAAAAATAATGAATTAATACTCATTTTTATTTTCTTCATTATCAAAAATAGTAGCAATGTAAACTCTATAGGCCTAACTATATTATTTTAATTGCTTTAATAATGTCTATTAAATAATTATATAGATGCTAAAATATAGTATTAAATATCTATATTGATACTTTTAAATATTAAAATGACTATTATTATTAATAATAATTATACTTATGTTTAAAATTTATTAAACTCTAAGTGCAAATATTTATGCTCTTCCAGACACTATGGTGACATGTTTATTCAAATTATTCCACATTATTGTCTTCAATTTATTTGTAAGGAAACTGAAACTTAAAAAATTAAACAATATACTGGTAAATCTTTGAACTCAGATTAGAACCTAGGGCTACCTTATTCCTAAACCAGAATCTTTACTCTCCTGCCTCTAAAAAAGACTTGACTCTTTCTAATAAGAGAGGGTTATTCTTCATAGTCCTCTCATGAACTAAAAATCACTCAGACCAAAGCACAAATCTGGTGGTAGGACAAGCTAGCTGGATTCTTTGACTCAAGGCTACAAAGAGAATTAGAACTCTTGTCTACAATTTCCCCCAAAGTGTTGTTACACTGTGGGGCCAGAGGATATACCAAATGGAAGAACTGTCAATATGTCCCCCTGCGTATGTTAAGTCATGCTTCAAGGAAAGACCCCTACTAGGCTTCTTTCCCCTGAGAAGCCTTATTTCTCAGTGAATAAAAAGAAAAATCTCTTTTCCCAAAAGGAAGTATAATGAGACAGAAGATGAGGGTGAGAATTTTTTTTCCATTTTGTTCTCATTTTAGTGCCTGAGATATTTTCCCCAATAAATCACACATATACTTCAAATAAGAATTGAATATTCAGCCACAGAAAGGAATGAAATAATGACATTTGTAGCAGCGTTAATGCAAATAGAGATTATCATACTAAATGAAGTAAGCCAGAGAAAGACAAAAATGTCATATGATATCACTTATATGTGGAATCTTAAAAAAATGATATAAAGGAATTTATTTACAAAAGAGAAATAGACTCACAGAAAACAAATTTATAGTTACTAAAGAGGAAAGGGAGGAAGAAGCGTAGATTAAGGGTTTAGCATTAACATATACACACTATTATATATAAAATAGATAAGCAACAAGGAACATAGGGAACTATAGTAAATATCTTTTAATAATCCCCAATGGAAAAGAATCTGAAAAAAAACATATATAAAGCTTTGCTGTATACATGAAACGTAAATCAACTATACTTCAATTAAAAAAAAGAGAATTAAAAAGAACTAAATGAAAGAGAAGTTACAGAAGAAGGAGTTAACATAAGAGCAAATAACAACTTCTTCAGGAAGATGCGAAGAACTTTTTGGGCCTCTGGTCATAAGTGACAAAGGAGAAAGCTAGGTCACAGTATTAGAGTTAAGAATAAACAATAGAGGAAGTAAAACCATTAACTATTGCATTTTCTGTATTATCTGGCTTATTAAAGTGAAATGATAAATTGTTTCTATTTATCAAAATATCTAAATTAATGCAATCTGCATAAAATAATGAATTATAATCACAATAGTTATAAAGTCATTTGTACTAGACACTTTATATGTTATTTCATTTCATCTAAAAAGCAGGCTTGACTCACTGCGCCTATAGTTAACAACACTGTATAATACAGAAGCAAAAACAATTATACACACATCCATATCATTTAGTGGTGGTGTCCTTGGGGAACTCACACAACTGAGAACTGTCTTGCTTAACTACACACATGGGATTTCTTCTGTTGTTTTTTAATCAGAATATTGGCATGTGGGACATAAAAAAAAAACTAAACTCTTTAGATTCCTTTATTTCAAAAACAAATAAAATACTTACATTATTAACAGAAGAGCATACTGGTTTCGGTCCGTAAAATCTTTGGGAAAGGACAACTGTAAAGGAAGTTCTTTTAAAGAAAGAGCAAAATATTAAAGATGGAGAGTCATTTACATGTAAAACTATAAGGTACAGAGAAAGTTGTTCTTGAGTGACAAAGCATGCACAAAACTTTACCATAGTCGTCAATATGAAGCATTTTAATTTCTGACTTTACTATCTTCTTTTTCAGGATAGCTTCCTTCAGCATAGAATTGCTTTCCAAAATAAAATATTCTATAAATCAGAAAGGGTAGTGCAAATAATTAGATTAAGAATCAATGCAACACAAATAATTATCCAGCATTACCATTTGATAGGCATCATGCTAGGCACTAATTGTGAAAGTGTTAGTTCTTCATTTGTGTTTGACTCTCTGGGAACCCATGGACTATAGCCCACCAGACTCCTCTGTCCATGGAGCTCTGTAGGCAAGAATACTGGTGTGGGTTGCCATCCCAAACCAGGGACTGAATCTGGGTCTCCTGCATTGGAAGCAGCTTTCCATCTGAGCCGCCAAGGAAGCCCTAGTCACCTTTTAACCTCTCATAATTTCGCTCTTGGATTACTGCAGTAGTTTCTAACTGGGCCTCCTTATTTTAGTGAAATTGTCTCCAGTTACCCTATATTTGGAACGTGTTTACATTTTCAAAATGTAAATCTGATCATTCTATTGTTCTGTTTAAAAGAATATTGAAAATAATACAAAACTATCTAGCATCCAATGACTTCAATTCACTGTGGCTGAATTTGAATACAAAATTACTAAGCATGCAGAAAATTAGGAAAACATCACCCTTGATGAGTACAGATTTTATTCAATAGAAAGAATCCAGAAACGCCATAGATGCATGTAATGGATAGACAATGACATTAAAACATATTTTTAGATTCCGTGTGTTTGGTAAATTAAAAAAAAAAAACTGAGGATATTAGGGAGAAGTATGAAAAGAAAAGCAGTTTAAAAAGAAAGAAGTTAAAATTCTAAAACCAAAAAACTGAAAAATTTGAGGCACATAAAAATTATAAAATCTAAGACGAAAAAATGCTGGACGGGATTAATAGCATATTAGATACTGCTGAAGAAAGATTAATTAACTATATTTGACAATATAGTGATAGACAACATAAAAAATAAAACACCTAGAAAAGAAAAAGAAAGAGACAAAAAACTGACAAAACATGAAGTGAAAGAAGCATCAGCAACTTGCTGGAATTTTGATTGATATGTTAAATATATTGATTTATTGGGGATATTTTATATATAAAAATGGTGAACTCTTTAATCCATAAATAACTATATGTGTGTATACATACATACATATATATATATATATATATATATATATATATTTGAGTCTTTCATTTCTTCTGGAAATGTTTGCTTTCATTTTAGGAGACTGACATATTTATTACATGTATTATAGGATAGTGTATAGTTCTTGACAATATTTTAAATGGTTATTTTGATCTATTTTTACATTTGCATTGCCTTATAATATATAAAATACGTGATATCTGTATATTAACCTATACACGTAATAATCATGATAAATTCCTTTATTATTTCTAAAATTATTATGAGAATCATTGAAAAAGCAAGAGAGTTCCAGAAAAACATCTATTTCTGCTTTATTGACTATGCCAAAGCCTTTGTGTGGGTCATAATAAACTGTGGAAAATTCTGAAAGAGCTGGGAATACCAGACCACCTGACCTGCCTCTTGAAAAACCTGTATGCAGGTCATGAAGCAACAGTTAGAACTGGACATGGAACAACAGACTGGTTCCAAATAGGAAAAGGAGTACGTCAAGGCCGTATATTGTCACCCTGCTTATTTAACTTATATGCAGAATACATCATGAGAAACTCTGGGCTGGAGGAAGCACAAGCTGGAATCAAGATTGCAAGAAGAAATATCAATAACCTCAGATATGCAGATGACACCACCCTTATGGCAGAAAGTGAAGCAGAACTAAAGAGCCTCTTGATGAAAGTGAAAGAGGAGAGTGAAAAAGTTGGCTTAAAGCTCAACATTCAGAAAATTAAGATCTTGGCATCTGGTCCCATCATTTCATGGAAAATAGATGGGGAAATAGTGGAAAGAGTGACTGACTTTAGTTTTTGGGGCTCCAAAATAATGGCAGATGGTGATTGCAGCCATGAAATTAAAAGATGCTTACTCCTTTGAAGGAAAGTTATGACCAACCTAGACAGCATATTAAAAAGCAGAGACATTACTTTACCAACAAAGGTCCATCTAGTCAAGGCTATGATTTTTCCAGTGGTCATGTATGGATGTGAGAGTTGGACTATAAAAAAAGCTGAGTGCCAAAGAACTGATGCTTTTGAACTGTGGTGTTGGAGAAGACCGTTGAGAGTCCCTTGGACTGCAAGGAGATCCAACCAGTCCATCCTAAAGGAGATCAGTCCTGGGTGCTCATTGGAGGGACTGATGTTGAAGCTGAAACTCCAATACTTTGGCCACCTGATGTGAAGAGCTGACTCATTTGAAAAGACCCTGATGCTGGGAAAGATTGAGGGCAGGAGGAGAAGGGGACGGCAGAAGATGAGTGGTTGGATGGCATCACTGAGTCAATGGACATGAGTTTGGTGGGCTCCCGGAGTTGGTGATGGACAATGAGGTCTGGCATGCTGCAGTTCATGGGGTCACAAAGAGTCGGACACCAATGAGCAACTGAACTGAACTGAATTGATGTGGATTCCATATTTTTTATTTGATTTCTGTTTTGCTTACAAGTATATCCTCTGCAAATAAAGGTAAGTTTTTTACCTATATTTCTTTTTCTTGCCTTATTTAATTAAGTCTTCTAATACAATGTTACAATTAGGCCGTGATAGCAAACACTCTTTACTTTTACCCAGTCTTGGGAGAAATGCATTGTCTTCAACATCAAGTATTAATATGATATCAGTTGTAGTATTTTTGTAGATAATAATCATTAAGCTAAATCATTTATTTCTTTTTTAGTTATTATTATTACTTCATTATTATTATTGTTTTCATTTTTAATCAAATAATTTTTTTTCTAAACCCTTTGAGTTGTTGACAGAATAACAGAGTAACAATCATGGATTTCTCAGGTAAACCCCCCATAGTCATAATATATTACCCTTTTATAAATTATTAGATTTTTGTTGCTTGTATTTAGTTAAGGAATTTTGCATCAATATTCTGAGAAAAAATTATTTTTTTTGTCCTTATTATATCTATTTGGCTTTGGAATCTAGTCAATGCTGGTTTTAATTTTCCGAAAGTTTATGTGATCTCGGTATTAGTATATTAAATATTGCTCAGAATGAACCAGTGAAGATATTGGAACGGGAATTTTCTTTTTGGGAAGAGTGGTAGTGGTGGTTTAGTTGCTCAGTCGTGTCCGACTCTTGTGACCCCGTGGCCTGTAGCCTGCCAGTCTCCTCTGTTCATGGGATTCTCCATGTAAGAATACTGGAGTGGGTTGCCATTTCCTTCTCCATGGGAAGAGTGAGTACTAACTGTGAATTAAAAATTTTAGTAGATAATGAGATATTTATATATTGTACATATTCTTCTTTGAGTGGTTAGCAATTTTTCTTTTAAGAAATTTACCCATTTTATCTAAGATGTCAAATTCACTCCCATTAAAACTATTTATGACATTCCATTACTATCATTCAAATGCCTGCGGAAGCTGTTATTAACATCATCTATTTCATTAATGAAAATGATAGTGCACTTTCCCTTTTATGGCTCTATCTAAAATTTTATCAATTTTACTTATTCTTTCTAAAAAATCTTTTGGTTTTTATATGCTTTTGTCTACTGCCAATCCATTTCCTATATCATTTATTTCCACTCTGACTTTATAAATTCCTTCTTTCAACTTACTTTCTATTCATTTGCTCTTCTTTTTCTAGTTTCTTAAGGCAGACTCTTAGATGATTGATTTTAAAGATTTCCCTTTTTTTATAAAATAAGAATTTAGGGACATAAACCTGTTTCTAGTCATGATATTTTTGTTGTTGTTTAGTCACTAAGTTGTGTCCAACTCTGCGACTTGCATGGACTCTTGCCTGTCAGGCTCCTCTGTCTATGGCATTTCCCAGGCAACAAAACTGGAGTAGGTGGCCATTTCCTCATCCAGAGGATTTTAAGTATCCCTTATGGCAGAAAGTAAAGAGGAACTAAAAAGCCTCTTGATGAAAGTGAAAGAAGAGAGTGAAAAAGTTGGCTTAAAGCTCAACATTAATAAAACTAAGATCATGGCATCTGGTTCCATCACTTCATGGGAAATAGATGGGGAAACAGTGGAAGCAGTGTCAGACTTTATTTTTCGGGGCTCCAAAATCACTGCAGATGGTGCTTGCAGTCATGAAATTAAAAGACGCTTACTCCTTGGAAGGAAAGTTATGACCAAGCTAGATAGCATGTTAAAAAGCAGACATTACTTTGCCAACAAAGGTCCATCTAGTCAAGGCTATGATTTTTCCAGTGGTCATGTATGGATGTGAGAGTTGGACTGTGAAGAAAGCTGAGCACCAAAAAACTGATGCTTTTGAACTATGGTGTTGAAGAAGACTCTTGAGAGTCCCCTGGACTGCAAGGAGATCCAATCAGTCCATCCTAAAGGAGATCAGTCCTGGGTGTTCATTAGAAGGACTAATGCTGAAGCTGAAACTCCAATACTTTGGCCACCTCATTCGAAGAGTTGACTTATTAGAAAAGACCCTGATGCTGGGAGGGATTGGGGGCAGGAGGAGAAGGGGACAACAGAGGGTGAGATGGCTGGATGGCATCTCCGACTCGATGGACGTGAGTTTCAGTAAACTCTGGGAGTTGGTGATGGACAGGGAGGCCTGGCGTGCTGTGATTCATGGGGTCGCAAAGAGTCGGACACGACAGCTACTGAACTGAACTGAACTGAAATTTAGATTAGTTGTGTTTTCATTTTGTTTCATTTGGCTCAAATATTTTCCAAATATTATTTTTCTAATAAGTAAATTCCTCTTTGATCTTTGTGTTATTTAAAGATGCAAGTCTGATGACAAAAGATTCTTAGTTTCTATTCTTCTTGATTCTTTATTTTGGCTTTATTTTTGAAGGATATTTTCAAAGTTTGTTATTCTAGGTTGGTTTTGTTTTGTTTTGCTTTCCATTGGTATTCAAAAGATTTTTCTCCATACCTTTATTCTGATAAGAAATCTGCAGTCATTCTTGGCTTTCTTACTATGTATGT